TTCGTTCGAAATAAATATCTACTTTCACATTTTCAAAATGCCCCTGGCTTGCATTATTCCTCTTCCTGAATGTGAACGGGTGTGGCCTAATGTTAGCATGCTGGACTATGGATATGACAGCCCCGTTGCCACAGAAACAAATCGCGCTCCGCACTTTGGGGCCGTGGGTGCGTTATAAAAGTGATGGTCGAATTTCAATAGTTGAATAGAGTAGCTCAACGTTTGACAATGGATGCTGTTGACTAGCTGCCACTTTTATTGTCTGTGTATCAAAATAAGGGACAGTTAGTAGCGATAGCCATTTGAGTTACCTTTCACGAATGTGCACTAAATAATTTTTTTATTAGATGTAATTCTAGTAATGCAGCCAAGCTTTAGTTTTTAGTGAACACTAGCATTTGATAGTTCGTCATAATATGCTACAGATGTATTTCTAGTTAGTTTAACAATAAGACAAATAAAGTTGACATTATGGTTATTAATACTTTTTCAATACAAGTCATTTTCTACATTAAGCTCTTTTTCTTGGTACCCTGCAAAGAGGTTACAAAATACCACCCTTCAAAAGGTAGACCATTAACTTATTTGTACTTGCTTTCTATCTTAACATGCTCAAAATGCTCTTTCAAAAACAAAAAGTTGGATATACTCTATACAAGAATATTTACTTTCAAGATTCTTGGAAGTTATTTAAACAGATAGGAAATGAAAATGAAAACTGTATTAGTCTTTTCCCTGCACTCAGTATTATTGATGAATACACCAAAGTAAGCAACAGAAGTACATAGTCTTATAAATTTAATATATCTTTTATATAGTAGTCGGCAACTTTTATCTTTCTTTCACAATATTTCACACGAAAGAAATGTGGTATCAGGTATGAGAGCAGTTGATATTTGATGTTCTCCGAACTTGCAGACAATTACAGTGTTTACAGCTTTGATTCATGTTTTATTTTTATTTATAAATTCTTAGGAGTATAGCCTATTAATGCAGTGCTGTTTCACAGAAAACCCTTATTCTAAGGAACTTATTCCGATTCTCTGGTTCTAGTTGTCGTTATAAGAAGCATTAGAAGAACGAGGAATATGGCTCAACATATTTGGTCAATTCATTGGTTAGAATTCTTCAAAAAACAATTATTACATACTTAGTGGAAGCTGTGTAAGAATACGCGAAAACGTACAGCTGTTGCTAGAAGATGCTATACATAATTTAGTAAAATTATAGAAATATATTAACAAGCGTAATAAAATATTTTACCCTAATTCTCTAAACACTAATGTTTTTATTATTCAGTTTTAGCATGCGGAAAGAAAAGTATCTGTTATTGAATGTGGGAAAAACATTTATTATCAAGAGTTTCCTCAGGTTTTTACACGTGCTATTTTTCAAGTAGAATGTGCATTAAATACCAACTGTCTTAATGGGTTTTAATTATTACCCTTTTCCCATTTGAACAGTTATTACATATTATCCTTATGTATATATTTATATATATAAGGTTTGCCTTCACTGATTGCCTAAACCTTTGCTTATAGTGAGCAAACTTATCACTCCGATCTTTATTTGAATTATACTTACTTTCTATTCAAGAGCTATCATGAATGCTTCTTATATTTTTGGCTTCAGTTAGTCTAATTATAGAAAAATAAGTCTCAAGAACTGTAAAGAATTTTCTTGCCCGGGCAAGCGCATTATTATTTCAAAGACCCTAGCTAATAATTATACATCCAGCGCTGGAATAAAAATGTTCATGTAAGCGTCATTATGACGTCATACAAGCTATCTTTATATCCTGAAAACAGAGCTAGTTCTAGAAGAAAACTGTTTTAAATGTTTCATCAGAATCGCCTACTCTTCCCCTCTGTCGTACCTCTGGGGATTGTAAGTATAACTATCTTTCTTGGATAAGGTATTTAAAATATAAAAATATAATATTTATTTTAAATAACTGAGCTGATATATATATGTTAATCATTGAAACATTTAATGACGTTTTGTTTTATTTATAATTTTACAACATATTATAGTCGAATTATATAAGAAATGAGAAAAATTCTTGGTACTGGTGTATAAGCACATATCTACAGAGGTCCGGCATGGGCACGTGGTTAGGGTGCTCGACTCGCAATCTTGGGGTCATGGGTTCGAATCCCCGTCTCACCAAACTTGCTCGCTCTTTTACCCGTGGGGGCGTTATAATGTGACGGTCAATCCCATTAATCGTTGGTAAAAAGAGTAGCCCAAAAGTTGGCGGTAGGTGCTAATGACTAGCTACCTTCCCTCTAGTCTTTCACTGCTAAAATAGGGACGGCTAACGCAGACAGCCCTCGTGTAGCTAACATTCAAAACAAACCAAACATATCTACGGGTGCTTGTGGGAATATAATTTGTTTTAAACTTCAGTGATAAGCTAAACAGTTAATAATTCATAACCGTTTCAATAAGTTTTTATTACTTAAGAATAAACTCAAATAAAAACTTAGCTTATAAAAAATTAAAGATCCTAGTGATAGAATATAGATAAGTAAGTGATTACTCAAAAAAAAAGTAAAAACAAACGTCACTAACATAAAAGTGTAATATACTGAACATCGTGAAATCCAACTGAGGCGTTAATCTAAAGTGAATGTAGGTTTGTGCTAACTGAATTATATGATCGTAGCTACTCATAGCTTAAGCTCAGTTCTGTAATTACTAATATGATTGTAGCCATAACCTTATATTAACATACTTTTGTTTATGATTCGAATTAATATTAGACTAAACGATAATAATTTTATTTATGTTAATATGTTTTATATTTATTCATTTCAGAATTTCAATTGCATGTTTATTTGCTTATATTCTGGAAATATTCACTCCTATTCCTTAAGGAAAAAATAAGATTAGGAGTTAATAGAGTATTTTGTAGATCGTTGTAAGAAGAGCAGTATCTCCAGATCATTTATTTGATCGATATTTTGATTTTTAGACGTAATTATAACTTTTATTTCTTAATCATCTTCATGAAAAAACTAAATAACTTACCACTGCTAAAAATTGCTAGCTAATGAAAAGCTCTATTGTATATAATTGTTCAGAATAGGATAAATATTACGAGCTCCTTGAGTGTGTACGTTAGTAACTGTACACTATTAAATTACTCAAAATACTAAATTATTCAATGTTTACTGTTTAGGTTACATAGCATTATCACAGCTAATTGGAGCCATTATCGTGTTGGCTGGGGTGATCCTGGGAGTAATGACGTACTTCAGCTACCGATGGCTGATCTCTCGTCTACAACCAATAATATGCTCAGAAGATGGAAACTCTGCTCTTTTACCTCCTTTAAACTCTCCTGGTGCTCCCTCTCTGAAGATAAGTCACAGCTTACCAGACATTAAAGAGGAATTGCAAAAAGATGCTTTCTGGCCAGACACTAAAAAAGAAGCCCCACCTCGACAGACAACTTTGCCAACTGTGCCGGCAAGACACCAGACGTTTCAGAGACAGCTCTCCTATCGTCTGGAACTCAATAACGTTCCTTTTGAAAGTAGGTAGAGACGCCATCTCTAGGAATTTGTACAGCGAAACTCAAATATATAATAACAAAAAGAGAAATAAGGATGTGGAGTTGTTTAGTAAATATAAATCCTATATATCTGTGTATGAAATTGTAAAAAAAAATATTAATAGTGATGTTTTAGTAGATTTATTTTCGGCAAACTATATATATGTGATTTTATTAATATACTTGCTTTTTTTACATAACAACAGACAAAAATTGCCTATTTTTGAGTCTAAGATTCGCACTCATAGTTAAACGAATAAAAAAATTATTCAACGTCGATGGATATGAGAAACACTTCTCATTCTAAAGAAAAATTTAAAATATTTCTGTTCCAGTATTTTCATTTTATTATTATTTTATTTAGTTATTATTATTCGGTCTTTTGAAAGCTTAATAAAAATGAAGTATTTGTTGACAATTTTAAAATTATATTTTTACGTTTTAATATGCATTTTTACTAGTAACATAACCTACAAAAATTGAATAATAATTGCGTAATTAAATCATTAATATACCCTGATCGTACGAATTTCTAGCATTTTAAATTAATGGGGTTTGATTATTCAGTAATTTTTATCCCTTTAGTAACTAACTTTGTATTTGTTTAATCTCAAGTTTGTCACAAACCAATCCGAGAAAAAGCATCGGTGGGAGAAATTAAACCCGAACTTTACAAGAAAGAACTTGTCAAAGAAGCTTCTATTGACACACCGGAGGAAGAGAAGAATATGCACATTCCTTGTGGGAAATTACATTTTATACTCAAATACGACTCTGATGTCGAAGGGCTCATCGTCAGGGTAGGTACAGTCAATGTATTTATGAAATTAAATCAGTATTCTTACAGTAGTGCTCACGCCGTTTCTGTGATATTACTTTACAATAAGACCGGTGACCGATTTTTAGCAAATATTTCGTTGCTGACGCTGTACGATCTATAGATCATGCTTCGCCAGCATAAGGCTTTATTAACCGTAGCAGTGTTCAGGGTTTTTATTTAGGCTTATAACGTGAGTGAAATATTTAGAGACTAGACAGTAAACTCTCAACATGAAGTGAAACCTGGTTATTAATAACTACGTCAGAGAGGAGTAAAACTTGATAATCAGCAACAAATTAAACGAAGAGTAAAACCTGTTTAATAAAAATAAATTTAACAAGAAGAAAAACTTGTTTATTAATAATAAAGTCAACAAGTCAAAGCATGTTTATTGTCTATCTATGCAATGTTCGGTTTATTACAATCACCGCTGTAATAGAAAAAAAAAATGGGGAGTCAGATTGGTATGTTATTTTTCAAGACTGGAACTAGCACTAACGTCCTCGCTAGGAAATAGAGTTTGTTTATTTGACAATAATTTTTGTACAATAACAGTTATACAGTCGATGCTTGGGCAGGACAGAAAGCAGTTCTTTTTGTGTAAATAGATTTATTTTAATGACCCTACACTTAGGAATTTATGAGAAACCGTGTTGTCTTTTCTCAGAGAGAAAGAACTGATTGTAAGTGGTTCATATCGCTCCCCTACAAAACTTTTGTTTTGGGCTGTAAATATTTTGCGGTACTCTGGTGGTAGAACAAATCACGTGTAATTGAAGAGAACTTATTTTCTGGTCAGGTTTTTCTTTTGAGTAGCTTTAGAGTCGAAAAAATCCTTTAATGTTTAATACAGGTATTTTTCCTGATCGATTCTACTTTGAGGATACTTGAATCTGACTTCAAACATTGAGTTCCTGGCCCCTCCCCTCCGGATCCTGGGGTACCACTTTTTGCTTGAAACCGTGTTCATGCCCCCATTCACCAGCTATCAGGACCAAACTTAGCATACATACTCAGATACAAAGGAGGAGTATCCTAATAGGATTTGTTTGGAGTGCTTACCCCCTTGGGATAGCTATAGCCCATACTAAGGGGCACCACGGGGGCTATAACGCACCCAGAAGGTCACCCAGGGACGATTAGGGTTTAAGAGAAGATTTTCAAGGCTTCTGAACCTGAATTTCTTATTGGAGTTTTGTTTTTGCTCCCGGGTTTCCATTTTTTTTATATGCCCCCCAGTGGCACAGCGGTATCTCTGCGGACTTACAACGCTAGAAACCGGGTTTCGACACCCGTGGTGGGCAGAACACAGATAGCCCATTGTGTAGCTTTGCGCTTAACTACAAACCAACCAACCAACCAACCATTTTTTATTTGAAGCTGTGACAATACCTCCATTCATAAGTTAGCAGACCAAACGTGACACACAAGATCGGGGGGGGGGGTCCTAATAGTCTTTTTCTTTCAAGTACATACTACTCTTGGGTTAGCTATAGAAGTAAATGAGGATAACGGAGGAGTTTTATCAGAACAATGGGATGTCTTTGAAACCGCAACAGAACGCGGGAATGTATGTTAGTTTTAATAATAACCCTTAGTCTAGAAATAAGATAATTAATCTTTATATTTTAAAACCTGATGCGGTATTTTGCCCTTGTTAAATTACTAAGATTTCTTTCCATTCAAATCGTAACCACATTTTATAAGTTTCTGTAACATTATCATTGCATATCACCGGATGACTGAGTTTTGAAACTCTTCTTCGTTTTCATTACAGGTTTTACGGGCTCAAGACCTTCCTCCTAAAGACTTCTTTGGAACAGCTGATCCTTATTTAAAGATTTCCCTTCTTCCTGAAAGAAAGAAAATTTTTCAGACCAGGGTATGTAACGACTGGATCTGTTAAACATAATGAGAAGAAGTGAGACATGTGATACGTGTGTTTTTCTTAATATACGTGCTTTTGTTTCACATATCCTATAATGCAAAACACTTTCTAAGTCGTATGTAAATGAGTGTTCATATTTTAAGTTGTGCATTATATATTCAAAGCTGAAGTTTTTAAAATATAAAACGTATTTTATAAAGTGTAAGTTGTATATTCTGTATTTTATAAGATGAATACCGTATTTTGAAAGCTTATGTAGAAACTGAAAACCTGCTTTATTAATATGTTTCATACGAGTTACAAGCAACTAGAAATAGAGACTCAGCAAACATATCTTTCTAAAATTCAAAAGATGTTTCTCTTATATAAAACGTGTACAGGTATAGGTAGCATCACTATCGAATCTATAATCAAAGGATTATACAGTCATCTACACAAATTATTTGGATAAGTTTGACTGCATGGGTAATTATATACATGTTATTGTAAAAAACAAAAAACGGAAAAATAAATAAGCGTCATGCCACGTTGTAATTAATGACTTTATACATCAGCTTCAAAGATTCGTGTCTTTTCATATATTGTTCATCTTATTTTTGCATTAAACCTATTAAATTTGAAGTTATATCAGACCAAGTTTATCGAAACAAATACAAACTTAATGTATATGTGTGTGTGTGTGTGTCTGTGTAACGGTCGAAAGTTTATTTTCTTTGCCCCCAGTGGCACAGCGGCAAGTCTGAAAGCTTATAACGCTAAAAAATGGGTTTTTATACCTGTGGAGGGCACAACACAGATAGCCTATTGTGTAGTTTTGTGCTTAACAATATAGAAACAAATAAGTTTATTTTCTTACAGGTTCACCGTAAGAATCTTAACCCTGTCTTCAATGAAACGTTTGTTTTCGGAGGAACCCAAAACCAGCTAAGGAACAGGACCCTGCAATTCTCCTTGTACGACTTTTCCAGGCATGACCTGATTGGTCAGGTACAAGTCACGGGTTTCGGCGAGATTTGTGACATTGCTCACGAAGTGGAGTACACCATGGACATAATGTGCGCCCCTCAGGTATATAGATTAGATGTTCTTCTTATTATGCGTATGTATCATTTAGATAAATAGATATATATTACACTAAAAGTGAACAAACCCGTTTTCCATAACAACTATTACAATACCTCTCTCCTGTTCAAACTCATTGAAATACAAGAACATCTCTATGAATTTTACACCTTAAAGTGAATGGAATTTCAAATATTACACACGTGTTCAACACTATTTAATGTCACGTGTTAGTCCTCCTGCCCGAAAGTATATCATTCATGTACTTTCCTAAATTACTATTGTAGCTAAGCTGCTGTTATATCATCTTAATATCAGTGGCCGGGAGATTTTTGAGATGAGACTCAGTTATTAAGGCCGGTTCCTTACTGAAACTTCTAAAAAGGTCGAACAAACCATGTTATAAGCCCGAAAATAGTAATGACAATGGTAAAGATTTTGAAAAGTGAAAACTTCGCTGAATGCTATCTCATTATTACATTAGTGATACTATAAGCTCTGTCCAATGTTACACATTGTTTAATTAGCTTATAAAATTCAGGTAATTTTAATAACTCATTATCAAAAAAGTTTATCTGCATATTTTAAAACATTTGGTATCACGCTAACTTTCATCTATAACCTGATACATTCTCCATTGTAAAAAAAAAAAAAAGAACCTGAATTTCAAAGGGTATTTTCTGTGGTCAAAATACAAGTCAGAATCAGACGCATGAAACAAGACTTTAGCTGGAAATCCTCAGTTTCTCTACTAAACATAGGTTAATATTTACGATATGACAGTTTGTATAACAGAACACTGTCAACAGACTGAGTATGACATCATTTATAGCAACCTAACAAGCAGTTCTTTTTACAATTCTAATAAGACACTGTAGCGTATAGTTCCTTATTATCAGTTTTGTTATAACGACATCGGTGCCAGCTCGCTGCTAATTTTAATATGGTGATTTACCTAGTAGTCCACTGTTATCAGTTGGAATGGAATATTCCTGGAAGTTAGCATTCATTCTACTAATAACCTACATTCATGTACATCCCAAATAGGTTGTGTCAGTGCAAAGCTACACAATGGGCTATTTGCATTCTATCAACTGCGGGAAATCTATCCTTGAATTGTGGTGTTGTAAGTCCGTAAACTTATCGTTAACCCACCAGGGGGAAGAGACTAACAAATAGGTCATTAATAATTTAAATGCCATCATAAAAAGAGTTTTCAAATAACATTTCACTTCGTATCGGATACATTATTAAAATATACATTTTGTCCGTGGATACTTGATAGAATATTGCGTTTTTGGTGATTTATTCGTATATCAGATTTCATGGTTACAATCAGAAAAGTGAAAAAAAAAATGTTAAGAAATATATTACCGAGACGATCTATCTAATATCATAAGAACTTTTTCTTATGGCCAAAGTCTTCTTTTTTTTCGTTCACTATCAATAGGAAATATGTAATTTAACCCACAAGCATACTAATTACTTGGAAGTCATCATAAATTGACAGTTTGCAAGTAATTAGCAAATAGAATGTGAAGAAATAGCTCTTTGCTGGCATTTTGAAAATGTAAAAGTAGATATTTATTTCGAACGAAGTAATTAGCAAATAGAATGTGAAGAAATAGCTCTTTGCAATTAAACAATCATGAAGTGGAGTAAGTTGTATCAGTATTAAACAATCATGAAGTGGAGTAAGTTGTATCAGTATTAAACAATCATGAAGTAGAGTAAGTTGTATAA